CGCCCCAGCATTGCACAGTGTAGTGCTGGGTCCCAGGAAGGCTGCTGGTCAGGGGCTTTGCCCCAGTGCCAGCTTGTGCCCTGGCCTGGGCTGCAGCGGGGTTTGCCCCTGTGAGGCCTGGGGGAGCTCGGCTCAGCCCCGTGCTTCCTCCTAGCACCAGCACAAAGAGCTCCCGCTGCTCGGCAGGACCCGGCTGTGCTTTGATGCAAGGAAACGAGCTGTGCGGTTGTTAGCTGGCCAGCCGGGGGTGAGCCCAGCTCCCAGGGACCTCCAGCCCAGCCAGGGTCAGCTTTGCTGCCCCGAGGCAGCTCGTGGCAGAGCCGGCTGCAGGTGCTTCAAGCGAGCCAAGGGGAGCCCAACCACCGAGAGCCGGCGTCACTCACTGCCGGGGTGCCGGCACATCCCCAGGCTGTGGCGGGGAAGGCTTCAGGCGGTGTAATAGCGCCCAGCAGCAGCCGCCGCTGTGTGAGCCCAGGGTGGCTGGACGGGCTTGATGATAATTGTGCTTTTGCGCTGGCATGGCCAGGTCTGCAAATGGGCTCCTGCCGGCGCTGGGTGAGTGGTGCTGAGCCTTCCGCAGCACTGTTGGGCTCCGTCGGGTTTATAAATCTCTGTGCTGACAGCTCACCTGCGGGGTGCGGGGCTCCGGAGGGGAAGAGGAGGTTGTGGTGCTGAGCCTTCCGCAGCACTGTTGGGCTCCGTCGGGTTTATAAATCTCTGTGCTGACAGCTCACCTGCGGGGTGCGGGGCTCCGGAGGGGAAGAGGTGTCTTTGAGGGGGAAACGACACCGAAACAGCAGCCATGGGTGTGGTGTTTTGCCTGGTTTTCCCACCCCTTTGGTCGATCCTCTTGCCATGGCCAGGCGGTGATGCCTGTGCAGGGTGTGAGGTTGGCGCAGGGCCTTGCTGCCATGTGAAGTCCCTAGGGGTTTGGAGAGGACAGGGACACTGTGTCCCAGCTCAGACCTGGCTGCCAGAGGTCGCCATGCTCAGCCGTCGTGGAGCTGGCAGCAGCCACACGGTGCTGGACAGGCACGGTGCTGCTCCCGGCCCCAGTGTCCCCTCCTCTCCCACCCAGGTGGCCTGGCCGGAGGGATCGAGATCTGCATCACATTCCCCACCGAGTATGTGAAGACGCAGCTGCAGCTGGACGAGAAGGCAAACCCTCCCCGCTACAAGGGCATCGGTGAGCGCGCGCCCGGTGCCCTGCTCCAACCCGCCAGCTGGATTCGGAGGCTCCCAGGGAGCCTGGTTGGAGCTGGGGTGGTGAGCGGGCTTTGGTGGGGCGGGCAGTGAGGGTGGCACAGTGGCCCTCAGTGTGGCAGGGGACGATGGCACCACTGTGCTCTGCTGCAGGGGACTGCGTGAAGCAGACTGTCCGTGACCATGGCATCCGGGGGCTGTACCGGGGGCTCAGCTCGCTGGTGTAC